TCAATAAAGACTTCAATCTTTGGTCTCCTCTCCTGCTCTTCTCTATATATTTATTCTTGTTCTTATTTTCTGTGTGAGTTTACAAGTTTACAACAATTTCCACATTAAGAAAGAATCAAATTGGATCGGTTTTCTTACCAAGTTCTCCAGCTATTTTGTCATGTGCAAAGCAAACCAGCAAAACCTTCAGGTGAAATTATAAGATCTTTGTACCAAACCACCTGAAACTAACTTAATCTCATGCATCATATTCATACGTCATCCACTCTGTTTTAGCTTAAACAAAAATGGAAAAATCGATTAATATGAATCTGTTAAGTCATGAAGCAAGTTATAAAGACAATCTGAAGGTAAACTTGTATTGATGGAGGCAACTTAATTAGCTCTATGAAAACTACTTTTCTCCTTCTGGGTGATTGAGTAATTGAAATATTCCATTCTATGTGCATCAGCAATTACGATAATCTTGCCCTTTAATTTGTTATAAAGTTGTTCCTCGTGTCGTATTCCATGTGAAACAAAAAACTATCAACACACGAAACTCCCCCTCGATGATATATATATGCATTAGGAGCAGCCATGAGATATATCCTCAATTTCTTCAACCATCAAAATGTTGACAATCAGTTTTGTCTTAATTCTCACTTGCAGCACCATTTTCACCATCTTTCCAGCCAAAGCCCAAGAATTAAAAACCTACATTGTTCACTTAAATTCACCTCAAGCCCAAGAGTTTTCTCAGACACACTACCTAGAAGAATGGTATAACTCCTTTTTATCAGGAATCGCTTCCACCTCAAATGAGAAACCAACAATGGTTCATGCCTACCACCATGTGATTACAGGATTTGCTGCAAAAATGTCGGCAGAGCAAGCAAAGGCGATGGGGAATATGAGCGGAGTTGTATCCGTAAGGCCTGAAAGTGTCTTGCAGTTGCATACAACTCGTTCACGGCACTTTTTGCGCTTGCACGACAATTCAGGTTTATGGAAAGACTCGAACCATGGGAAGGGAATCATAATTGGAATTCTAGACACTGGAATTACTCCTGGGCATCCTTCATTTAACGACAAAGGCGTCCCACCTCCACCAACAAGATGGAAAGGCAAATGTCAAGTGGCAGGGTGCAATAACAAATTGATAGGAATGAGAACATTTGTTAGCAGTAGTTCTCCAGTTGATCAACTTGGCCATGGGACTCACACTTCAAGTATCGCTGCAGGAAATTTTGTAGATAATGCAAATATATTTGGACATGCCAATGGCACTGCCACTGGGATGGCACCACTTGCACACGTGGCCATGTATAAAGTATGTGGCACGAGATATTGTTCCGATAGTGACACCATAGCCGGCATGGATGCAGCTATTGGAGATGGTGTTGACATGCTTTCTATCTCACTTGGTAGACGTTCCGTACCCTTTTATCGAGATTCGTTGGCAATAGGTACCTTCACTGCCATACAGAAAGGGATCTTCGTAAGTTGTTCAGCAGGTAATTGCGGGCCTTTCAAGGCTCGACTGTCAAACGTGGGCCCATGGATCCTTACAGTTGGGGCTAGTAATTTGGATAGAAAAATAAGGACAACTGTTAATCTAGGAAACGACAAGTTACTTAATGGTGAATCTTTATACCAACCAAAGAATTCCCATCAAAAGCTTATGCCTCTTGTTTACCCAGGTGAAAAGGGTGATTACCGTGCAGCAACATGTAGAAGAGGATCACTAGATGGCATTGATGTCAAGGGGAAGGTAGTATTGTGTGATTTGGATGGTATGATTGGAAGAATTGAAAAGGGGAAGGTAGTGAAGGATGCTGGAGGAGCTGCCATGATTCTCCCAAACACTATCAAGTGTCCTGAGACTACATCACCAGAGGCTCACGTTCTTCCAGCATCAAATGTCGGTTAAAAAGAAGGAATTGAAATAAAAAAGTATTTGAGTTCAACTTCATCACCTGTAGCAACTATCCTTCTCCGTGGAACTATACTTGGCATAAAATCAGCTCCAGAGGTGACTTGTTTTTCTTCAAGAGGGCCTAACCTAGCAAGTCCTGGAATCCTAAAACCAGACATTATTGGACCTGGTGTTGACATTCTTGCAGCTTGGCCAAAGTCTGTCGAGAACAAGCCAGGAACCAAAGCAACATTTAACCTCTTATCTGGCACATCAATGTCTTGTCCTCATCTCACAGGCATAGCAGCATTGTTGAAAAGTGCACATCCAGAATGGTCTCCTGCTGCCATCAAGTCAGCAATAATGACCACAGCAAGTCAAGTAAGCCTAAATGGCAAAGCCATTCTGGATGAAAGGGAGCTTCCTGCAGACGTGTTTGCTATTGGTGCAGGTCACGTGAACCCATCAAAAGCCAACGACCCGGGGCTTGTTTTTGACATCCAACCTGATGACTACATTCCGTATTTGTGTGGGTTAGGTTATACAACCAAACAAATTAAAACGATCGTGAAGAAGACTTTTTCCTGCTTTAAAAGCATACCAGAGGCAGAGCTAAACTATCCTTCTTTTGCAGTGACATTAAAAAGAGGTGGTAGCAAAACATACTCAAGGACGGTGACTAACGTTGGTATGAAAAATTCAACTTACACTATCGGGAGTCTTTCTCTACCGGAGGGTGTACATATGGTGATTGACAGTCCTTCTCAAGAGCTCCGTTTCACAGCATTGCACCAGAAGTTAACATACAAAATAACATTCACTCGTGATATTATGGATAAGTTGAAAGGTCCTTATGGCCAAGGATATATGACTTGGGTTTCAGACAAATACTCCGTCAGAACCCCATTTTCATTCAAGTTCAGATGAGGAAGAAGACCAAAGTGTTGATTTCCATCAGATGCAATTCGTATTATTACTATTATATTATTAATAATATTATTGTTTATTTATGTAATATTATTATTATTTTCAAAATAATAAAATGGTAATTTAAATAATAAAGGGCAATCTTGTCATTTATCATTATTTATGTTCCATTTCCAATACATTTAAGCTTATCCTTGAACCTGATTACTCTCCTTTCCGTCTGCTTAGTATTTTTATTTTGAAAGGTGGCGTTTTTTTTAAGAGGTGTCGAAGTTTAAAGTCTTATTTCACTTCTGATTAATAAGAGGTGGTGCGGAAGTCTAAGCCTTTCTTTTTTAGTCGATAGCCATTTTATCCCCTATTTAAACATTTGGACATTTATAATCTAATCAGCTAAACACTTATCAAAGTCCAATTACCCAGCAATTTGGTTCATTAATTCTCTGTCCGTAAGTGTTTTGGGTTCTTTTTATCTTGGCAATAATAAGGATATCCGGCAACACGTTGTTATTACTCAAATGAAGAGGATTGATTTATTTAACCGATTATTAATTCATGTGGCCATTCCCATGTATAAACCGTGTATTTCTATCCTAGATGTGTAGATTGAATGTGAGAAATGGTTTGTGTCATTCTAGTTACGTTGAATCTCTACTTTCTTGATCTCGGAATTAATTGAATAAATAACAGACATTAATATCAGATATAGACTATCTAAGCATACATGCATTTCCTCAATCATATTCAATCAAGGAGACTAGAGACATCACTGACATCATACAAGAGAAACAAATCTTATCTTTGATCATGAAGGTCTCACTATGGTATCGTCAATACATCCATTGACTATATTGCCACTAAGTTACGATGAGATTAATCTAGTATCAAAGTGTATGACTCACACACAGTAGACATCAAGATCATCAAGTCTAAGGGGATTAAATAAAATGACCACATGAGAAATATGACATCTCATGCAGTGTTCTCATCATAGGTCTATCTAGTACACAAGTTCACCAATTTACGCTCATATCATCATATGTGAACTAAAAATCAGCAATAAGAGTTCCTACATATGTTAGTCTCAATAGTACTACTTCAATCCAAGTATACAGTAGTACTTGACCAACGACTTATAAGAAATCAAATATTATAGGGTTATTATAATGTTCATCATACAAGTCAGAGTATTATAATGGAGCAAAGTAATTAGACAATGACTTTATTAATGAAATTATAACTCGATGTTTCAAAGCACAATCGTCTAAAGGTTAACTTTTGGGCATATTACTAACACAAACATCATAGAGGAATCTCCTATTGTTCCAGTGTCTAGTGCCCAATAAAAAAACCATAGGCTGAAACCATACATTTCCCCAACCTATAGATGATTACCAAGCTTATAAACAACTACTTAGGGGTTCTTTGTTTACCTCTTAATAGTTCCATTAAGAGACGGCCTCTTAATCGTTGAGAGATAATCTTGTTTGACAAAAAAAAAAGGTTTGTCTCTTAATAGTTCTAAAACCCTTTGAATGATTTTGTATCTTGGTCTTCCTTAACCATTTAGCGCCCTAATTTCGTTGTAAATAATTACCAAACAATTATATTTCATTTTGCACTGGATTATATTATGAGAGCCCTCTTAGTCATTCTGAACCCTTATCATTTTACACCAAACAATTCAAAACTGCCAAATAGCCTCTTATTGTAATTTCTTTCCGAACAACATCTCGGCCAAATTCCAACTACAATATGTTTTAGGTAACAACATTTGACAATATATTATTTGCGTATGTACTATTTTCATCGACTTAAGCACGTTTAACACATAACTTACTGAAATACATTAATAACCCTCTAAAATCACTTACTGAGCACGTCAGGAAAACAGTAGAATGTCATCAACATCCACCGGCCGTCACCCTCCAAGTTGTTGTATGAGCATCGCCGTTGGTCGCCTCTGTCATCACCGTCGCCCTCCGTTCCGTCATTGATCACCGTCACTTTCTCTCTTGCTGTCGCTTATCACCGATCGTCTTCGTAGCCATTAACATCCACCGTCGTCATTGTTGAAAGACCGGGAAAAAGATGCTTCCATTTGGGGGAGTTTGTTTCGAGAGAGAGAGAGAGGCCTTTTGCGGTTGCACTGTTGCCTATTCATTACTTTTATTGTAATTATTTAATATTATTATATACAAAGAACATTGTTATTTTTGTTTAATTTTGTGATTTATTACTTATTTAACATACATTTATTTTATTGATTTGTTCATTTTGATTTCTTAGTAATTGTTATGTTCATTTTTTTCATTGAGACATATATGGATTAAGTTATATAGATTAAGGATTTGTGGAGTTGCAGGCGATGAAGTTAGGTGATGAAGTTTGGAGATGATGACGATGAAGATGAAGTTTAGAGATGGTGAAGATGAAAATGAAGGAGGCGCGTCTCAAGCAGAGGGGTAGGGATTCTTTTTTTTTTGGCTGAAAGGGGGCCACCACAACATATCCATTTGTACTATTAGGTCATCTTCTGTGCGAATTTGCCGCAAGTAAACATCTTAAAAGAGCTGTGAAAATACATTTAATAAATTGTCTTAATAATGTCATTTTACCCCTTTTTTTTTTCCATTCGGTTCATGTTTCTTCCTAAAGTTCAATGAGGAAATTGATAAATCAACAATAATAATGAATCTTTAAAATTTATCAGTCAATAATAATAATGAATCTTTCAAATTGTTCAACAATAATAACAATGAATACTTAAAATACTACTTGGTTTTGAGGGTATTTCTTGCAACGAAATAAATAAAAACAAGAAAAACATAAAATTAAAATTATTCATTTTGGTGAATAAAAGAAGGTACCTAGTTACGTTAAGTCGTCAAACAATTTAGCAAAGCATCAGCGGGCAACATATTCTTGGTCCCAGAAGCGTGTTTATAACCAATTTCTACATTAAACTTGCGATTGGTACTCATATAGAACTAGACTCGACAGGATTGGACAAACGAGAATGAGGTACGTAGATAAAAGAATTGTGAAATGTTTTAGGGTTTTAATTTGTAATGGGTAATTTAATAAGTTATCAAACTTGTTTCGTGACCCTAAAGTTTGGTCCATCTATTTTGATGTGACAAAAAAGACACTTATATCCAACTTTGTCTGATCTTTAAACATGGGACAAGAAGTTTTAGTTCTTTTCTATTATGTTTGGCTCCATTTATATTCTAATTAGTTCTTGTTCCACATAAGAACACGACAAACATGAGACAAGTATGTTTTGTACTGTTTTGTACATGAGACAAGTATGTTTTGTACTGTTCTGCAAAGCAAACACATCCTAAGAAAACTATCAATAATGTATATTCAACTCTTTTCATTTTAATTAACTGGAATAAGCTTGTACACCAACAAAACCTTCAGTAATGAATTCACCAATTTCCCGCATATTTTCAGCGTGCATCGTTGCACATCCCTCTCATCTCATTTATGGTTTTAGATTAACATACCAGAAATTAACGATAACCCTTAATTAAAAAAAACAAATCCTTAGGTAATAATGTATCACACAAGAAAACAATCAAAATGGAGTAATTCTCAAGTCCTAATTAAAGCAAGACGATATGAACCACAAAAATGACCCTTAAATAATTCATGTACTCATCCAAAGTAGCAATTAAATAGACTAATGGGTTAAGATTCATGCCAATCAGTCAACTGCATTGGTTTTAAGGGTATTTGTTGAAATAGAAAACTAAAATGATTCATTTATATTCGGTTGAAGAGTTTTAATTTATAGGAACAAACTTGTACACCAAGAAAACCTTCATTTCTTGTATATTTCATGCATGTATTGTTGCACATCACTGTCATCTCATATGGTTTTACATTAAACACAATTTTTATCATCTCTCCCACCTTCATGCTCTCTCTCTCTCTCTCTCTCTCTATATATATATATATATATATATATGGGTGTGTGTGTGTTGGGACAGATATCCTTCATCATTCCTAGCTAGTTACCAAGAGATAATTGAAACCATGGTGTCAGCTATTCTTTATGTGTTACTTATCACTTGCAGTAGCAACGCCCATAACCTCAAAACCTACATTGTTCATTTAACTTCCCCAGCTCAACCCCTAGACTCACATCACCTCCGACAATGGTATAACTCACTTCTGTCTGAAATCGCTTTCGTCTCAGATGATCACAAACCAACAATGGTATACATGTATCACCATGTCATGACAAGATTTGCTGCAAAAATGTCGTTGGAGCAAGCCAAGGCCATGGAGAACATGAACCAAGTTGTATATGTACTGCCTGAAAGTGTGTTCCACTTGCACACAACTCGTTCTCCATACTTTATGGGTTTGCGCCAAAACTCGGGCTTCTGGAAGGATTCCAACTATGGCAAGGGAATCATAATTGGCCTTCTAGATAGTGGGATTACTCCAGGACATCCTTCGTTTAATGATAAGGGTGTCCCACCTCCGCCACCAAGATGGAAAGGCAAATGTGATGTGGCAGGGTGCAATAACAAGTTGATTGGGATGAGAAACTTTTATTCTGAAAGTAGTCCAATTGATGAGTTAGGCCATGGGACTCACACTTCAAGTATTGATGCAGGGAGTCCAGTAGATAATGCAAACTTATTTGGACAGGCCAACGACACTGCCACTGGGATTGCACCACTGGCACACTTGGCCATGTATAAAGTATGTAATGAGCTTTGTTCGGAGAGCTCCATAGTAGCAGGCATGGATGCAGCTGTTGGAAACGGTGTTGATGTGATATCAATCTCACTTGGCGGAGGAACCATGTCATTCTACGAGAATACTGTCATGGTAGCTGCCTTTACTGCCCAACATGAAGGGATCTTTGTGAGTTGTTCAGCAGGTAATGAAGGTCTTGAAGGTAGTTCATTATCGAATGAGGCCCCGTGGGTCCTTACAGTTGGGGCTAGTACCATCGATAGAAGAATACGAACAACAGTTCTTCTTGGAAACAGCAAGTCATTTTATGGAGAATCTCTGTCTCAACAAAAGGATTTCGATCATAAGCTTCGGCCTCTTGTTCACCCCGGCAAAAGTGGTGACCAATTTGCAACATGGTGCACGGAGGACTCACTGGACCCCACTGATGTCAAGGGAAAGGTCGTGTTGCGTGATGTGGGCAGTCCCATTGATGGAGATGGAAATATTAAGGTAGTGAAAGGCGCTGGAGGAACGGCCATGATTCTTGCATGTGATATCGATTCAGGGGAGAGTGTATTTGCACAAGCTAGTGATCTTCCTGCATTAAGTGTTGGTTACAAGGAAGCAGTTGGGATAAAAAAGTATCTGAATTCGACTACATCACCTGTAGCAACTCTCCTTTTCCGTGGAACTGTACTTGGCATAAAATCAGCTCCAGAGGTGGGTTTTTTCTCTTCAAGAGGGCCTAACTATGCAAGTCCTGGAATCCTAAAGCCAGACATTATTGGACTTGGCATCGACATTATTGCAGCTTGGTCACAATCGGTTGATATCAAGACAGGAACCAAGACAACGTTTAACATAATATCTGGCACGTCAATGTCTTGTCCTCATCTCACAGGCACAGTTGCGCTGCTAAAAAGTGCACACCCCAAATGGTCTCCTGCTGTTATCAAGTCTGCAATCATGACCACGACAGATCAAGTAAACCTAAATGGACATACAATAGTTGACGAAAGAAAGCTTCCTGCAGACGTATTTGCCATTGGCTCAGGTCAAGTGAACCCATCAAAAGCCAATGAACCAAGCCTTGTTTATGACATCCAACCAGATAACTACATCCCTTATCTGTGTGGATTAGGCTATACACCCGAACAAGTTGCAATCATCGTTAAAAGAAATGATTCATGCGCAAAAACCATACCCGAGGCCCAACTAAACTATCCTTCTTTTGCGGTTACATTAAGAAAAGGGGATATCAAAACATTCTCAAGGACGGTGACTAATGTTGGTATCGCAACACAACTTACTCAGTAGGATTTATGTACCACAGGGTGTAAATGTTGTGGTTGGTAGTCGTTCTCAAGAGCTGAGCTTTACAGCGATGCAGCAGAAGTTAACATACGAAATAACATTTAGTCGAGATAGTAAGGATAAGGCAAAAGATTTATATGGGCAAGGACATATGACTTGGGTTTCAGCTAAATACTCCGTTAGGACCCTGTTTTCATTCAAGTTTGAATGATCAATAATATGATGGCCAAAGTGCTCGATCAATCGAGACAAATATATGAAGCACTTCGGAATTGTAACCCCTTATCCAATTTGTACATCATCTATACATACAATTATATATTTATATATACACCAATTATTGATTATTCTAGTTTTTGTATCAGGGACGATTTGACAGTTACTGAATGGTTTGGTGCAAAATGATTAAGTGGTCTGAATGATTAAAATGTTTTCATAATATAGTGCAAAATGAAATATAATTGTTTGGTAATTGTTACAATAAAATTAGGGCGTTGAATGGTTAAGGGATGCTCAGGATACAAAATCATTCAAATAGTTTTTAGAATCAGTAAGATGCAAACTTTTTTTGTCAAACAAGTTTCACCTCTTAATGATTCAAATGTTGTCTCTTAATGAAACTATTAAGAGGTAAACAAACAATGCCTTAGTATTATTGGTCTCCTCATCTAATTATATTTTATTTTATGGCATCACAATGATGTTATAATAAGATCAGTTAATATTTAACATTCAGTTTTCTTTGTTCAAAATCATTTAAACGGTTAAAATTTATAAATTTTACCACTTAAACTTTTGACTTTAAAATATTTACTGAACATGCAAGATTTAAGTAATTAATAATTTTAAACAAACCCTTTTATTCACTGACACGTATACCTAATTCTAAGGAGTTAGTGATAAAACAAATATGAAATTGCAAGTGCTCAAACAATGCATGTTAGAGTTTGGAGATAAAAGAAACGAAAATATTGGATTGGAAAAAAAAATCCCTTTTTTTTCAATTTTAGAAATTTTTAAATGATAAATTGTATGAAAAAGTAACGTACTTTAATTTGATTCATATTTTGGGTAATGTATTTTCAAAACTTTCATTTTGGTATCTAAGATGTAAAGTTTTAAACAGTTAAGTATACGAATAACCGGTTTAAGCATTAACCGGTTATCATGTTGATGTCGTATCCAACTCAGTGTCATTTGCTATACAACCTAATTTCATCTCATCACTGGTTAATGCTTCAATCGGTTACCCCGATACTTAAATGTTACAAACTTTATATCTTAAATACCAAAATGAAAGTTTTAAAAGTACGTTACCTACATGGTGCAAGAAGGAGGACATTGAAAACCCTATATTATAGCATAGGAGGCAGATAACACACATAAAACACTAATCGTTAACCAGCAAAATAGAGAGAAATCACAGAAGATGTAGGAGAGATATCGAAGTGATGGAGAAGAGAGCAACAGAAGTAGCTAGGAGCATAAATCACTTGCGAGATTGATAGGACAATAGAAGAGTAACAAGGACAATAGAAGAGTAACAAGAGTGGAGCGAGAGAAGATTGGGCGATTGAGAAAAGAATAATGTGAAATTAATAAGAGTGAATTACATTTTTAGTCCTTGTGGTTTCATGAATTACAGACTCTTTTCTTAATAAGAGTGAATTACATTTTGGTATTAGGTTTGTAGATCTGTTATATTTTTCCATGGCTTGTTTTTCATTTTGATGATTAGGATTGTGTTTAGGTAGAGTTTGATGATTTAGAGTTTAGTTTTGGATTGAGTTTTGTTAGTTAGAATTTGGATTTGAATTGATTTGGTGTGTGAGGGGTTGTTTATCATTATCAAACACTTACCCCATAAGCGTTTACTAGTAAAATTTAACATTGTCACATATTTACCAGGTAAGATTTCAGTCAACAAAAACAACATTGTATGCAACTATTTACTCGATAAGCGCTAAACGTGGTAATAGTCCTCACATTCACTTACCGAGTAAGACTTTTGGTTATTGTCTCGCTCTTACCGGATAAAATTCTTGGTCCTTACCATATTCATCCTATAAATTAATGTGAATTGATAAGCGCTTACCCAGATAAACGTTTGATAAACGGCTCCTGAGTGTATTTTGATGTTGTATGGGGTGGAAGAAGGGCAATGTGTTTTATGTTTTTGTTATAATTTTATTTTTATTATTAAATATTTCATACATTTACATAAAATACATTTATAATAAAAAAAATAGTTAAATTAACTTTTTTTTAACGGAGTCCACGTTAGAAATCCGATCCACAACCAAAAACAAATCAATTGTATTCGATCCATAATATATTTGAAAGACTCGATAATGTAATTTTTGAGATGATTTTGTTTGTTGAGGGAGAAACAAAATTTTCAGCCACATAAAACGACATAATACGGTGTCGTGTGAGTTCCCGTAAACATATAAATTGGAACGACCAAACAAGGACGGGAGTGGATTACAAACTTTTTAATTACACGACAATAGTCATGGCGAGAGTGTGACTGGTGCAGAGAGTGAGTGTGTGATTGTGTGTGTGTGAGAGAGAGAGAGACGCCATGAATATTCTTCGAAGAGCTTCATCAAGCTCCCCAATTGTTATCGCATCCATGAAAAGACCATTCAACACCCTCAGAATCTCCGCTGAACTCCCCGGCAATCCTTCTCCTACCCTTGCTCATGGTATTCACGTCTTCCATTGCCCTGTAAGTCTCCCCCCTCCTATTGTAAGAGCACACGGATTTTTGGATGATTGAATAAACTTGGTGATATTTTAGAAATAGATACATAGGATTGTAAATTGCTCTTCTGTAAGGGATATTATCATAAAGTCGTTAGGATTAGTTTATTTGGGAAAATATTTTCTGGATTTTAAAGTGTTTGGGCAGTTCATCTAATCATTTGATTGATATTGATATGATTCTACGAATCCACACATCCATACACAGGATTTGAGGTGGCTGATTGTTTTTTTTTCAGTAGGGGTTTTATTTTAAAAATCATTAAGATAGTTTAATCTTAATAGTATTCAGGAATTTAAATGTGTTTGGGCGAGTACCGGCGGGAATCACACAGAGGAGACCAGTGAGATCTGAGGGAAAAGGTTATTGAATTGCCACAGAAGATACGAGTACAGACTTAAGCTATTTGGGTATGTACAAAACTGACCAAAAAATAACAAATGTTTGTGTAAAAAAAACTGTCTTAACAGCATTAACCAACAAATACATGTTTACACCAAATTTCTCATCATCACAAGATGTGATTTAGTAATCCTTGCCATACTCTGTAGTCTGTAGATGCTTTATAAGTCATAACATCACCCGTGGATTGTCTTCCTTTTTATTGATCCATATGCCACTTATCAGGAATTACACTATCTTATGGTTAATACTCTCCTCTACAAGTTGGAGTGCAAATTGCAAACTCCCTACTTAGAACACGCAAAAGTGGGTATTTTCCCAAACTTTGGTAATAATATCTACCAATCACGAAGGGATAGGAATATAAAGAGGCTGGAGCTGGCCTTTATCGACTTTGTCTCAAACAAATTGACATTTTAATATATGAGATGATTTATAATTTTATTGTATTTGTAATAGGATCAAGTAGGAATTGTGGCAAAACTATCCGAGTGTATTGCATCAAGGGGTGGCAACATATTGGTAGCTGATATTTTTGTGCCCCAGAACAAAAATGTCTTTTACTCCAGAAGGTTAGTACATGTGGCTTCTGTTTATATTTTCCTGTGTTTTAATTAATTTTTCTTATTGAAGTGGTTGGAGTGTTTTGTGATATTAGCAATATCTTTATAGTTCTGCTTCTTCCTTTACCACAGTTCATTGACTTCTTTTTTGTTTCCATGAGTTTATATGGTACATTCATACCTTTACTTGAAGCTATGAAGATTGAGAGCATTTGGGAGATAAACTCTGGAGATGAAGTAGGGAAGTATGCCTGTTTATCTGATTAATTTCCTGACCAAGGCAAGAGTGACTAAAGCTTCATGCATGCGGAGTACTCTTTTTTCCTCATGGGGTCATGGGATTTTAGCTTCATTTATTGAATTATCTAATTAGGTCATAGTTTAACACCCCCTTCCCAACTAGGCTCCCAAAAGTCAAACAGTACTAAAATACAAAAGCTCTACTAATTACTAATTCATATACATAATTTTAAGCACAAATTAAAACTGAAAGAAACTTAATGAATGCTCCTAAAATTTCCTGGCTGTATTTGCTCGCATTCACCTTGTCTGGGGATTTTTGTGATTACCTACTGCAAAAAAGAAAAGTGGCTAAGCTAAATGCTTAGTGCATAGATACATATCAAAGAATAATGATGAAAAAGATGCATGAGCTACCAAAATGTTAATCATGTAAAAATTTGGTACTTGCAAACTGTTACTAAGACTAAATAACAGATTGAACATATCACAATGCCAAAGAAATCCAAATAACAGATAGAACAAGTCACAATGCCAAACCAATCGCGACCAAAAATTATCTACACATGTGTGTACAGACACAGAGCAAATGTCAAACATATATTGCCACACAAGAATGCAGCCCAAATTGCAAATCCCGATGTACCTGAGAGACAAAGGAGATGAACTTTATCTTAAAGGAGATGGAATTTAGGGGTCTACACCCTGACCCGAAACCATATACCCAACTTATAACCTCTTTGGCCAATTCGATGATTTGCATTTTTTCTTTTCACCACCAAAACAGCTATTAGCAGTAACAGTGGTAGTGTCTATAAAATTTTCTGGGTATCATACAGAAAATGGATTTAAACTCTTATAGAACCAGATGCAACACGTTTTCCTCATCCAAAGATCTCTAGAGAATAAAGATACGCTTAATAACATTTGCTGGAGTATATCATCACGGTAGGTATCCATTCATGAACCAATTGAGTAGTCACCACTTAGTGATTTGAATCATGGACTGCTGGAGTGAACATATAAGCATTTGACAATTCAGCAACTGGGGAACTGAAAAGGATAATAGACTTACAATATGCAAACTGGTTTTGTCCGACACTTGGAGTTGAAAAGAGAGATTGTATAAAGTTATTCCAAGTTTCACGAGAGAAAAGTAAATGATAAGAAACTTTGTTTGTTACAAGTAGCAATTATTTTCTCTAGATGTAATTATTGAGTTCTTTTTTTTTTCTTTCACCACTTCCTATTTAGTACTTGATTCAATAGGTCATTAGTCATTGCTGAATTTACAGTGAATAATTCCTTATAAATGGCAATAACGGTTAATAAATTTTCTTTTATTGTGAGCAGAGGGGTTTAATGTTCGCTTTTACAAGTGTAACTATATTAGCCAAACACAAATTTTGAGCTAAATCAACATCTATAACAATAAACTCTCTTTCAATGTACAGTGAATTTGTGTTCGACCCAATTAAATGGCAGCGGAAGCAAATGAACAATGACTTCCTTGACCTATCAAAGATGTTCAATGCAGTGAAATCTCTTGTCCGTGTGCCTTCTGTAGACCCTAAATATAAAATTGCTGTTCTTGCCTCTAAGCAGGTTTTGCCAAGTGCCTTCTATTCTTTCTGGATATCTGTTTCAAGTTTTGCTCTTTATTGTTTACTTATAAACTGTTCAAAAGCTAAACTAGTACGGAGGTTGCATTCTCGGTCTAATGCTTAAGCTGTCACTTTGTTGGTTCAGGACCACTGTCTTGTTGATCTACTGCATGCATGGCAAGATGGAAAACTTCCAGTTCATATAAGATCTGTAATCAGGTAAAGTATGGGAATTCATCTTTTTCAGTCCGTCTATTTGTCATCCTGGTTCTAACTTGACCAATATTGTAATTGAATAGTAATCATGATAGGGTTCCCAACACCCATGTGATACGCTTCCTTGAAAGACATGACATTCCATATCACTATCTGTCAAAGTCAAAAGAAAAGAATATAGAAGATGAGATACTGGACTTGGTTCAAGATACAGATTTTTTAGTCCTTGCTAGATACATGCAGGTAATATCGAAGAATTTGGCTTCCATTTTGGGACATACCATATTAATTTTAACGTTTTTTTTATCTCTGGAAAGAGTCCAAAATTAATAACATATCCTCCCTTGTACTTCTATCCTGATGAAATTAGTGGACCTCCATCACTTCTGGAGTTCAAAATCCTACACAGATTTTACATATACTTTCTATTTACGTTAGTTATAGTTTTTGACTTCTTCTGGAAGAGGTGAGCCACTAAAGATCTTTCAGTGTTAGAAGGTTTGTGACCCGCTCTTTAACAAAAAGATCAAAAAGAAAATTGATTGTGAAATAATAAAAAGAGGTGGTGTAAACAAACCGACCCTCATGCCCCCTCCCATTCTTCTGATGAAAGATCTATTCACACAAAGCAGACACTTGCAATACAAAGCCATTTGGGCAATTACTATTATTGAAACACATATCTTAGCATGAGTACAGAGTGAATTCTTACTATATTTATTGTATGGAGGGAGAGAGTATGCTTTTGACCTAGAGCACATTCATGTAAATTTTTGCTGGTAAAAGGAAAAAGATAAGAAAAGAAATCGATGTATATATGATGGATGTGCATTTATGTTGTTCGGGCAACAACTATAATATGATAGAGCTTTAATTTCTTATTACTATATGCAGGTGCTATCTGGAACTTTTTTGAAAAGATATGGGAAGGATGTAATTAACATTCATCATGGCTTATTGCCATCGTTCAAGGGAGGGAATCCATCTAGGCAGGTTCTGTCTTTCTTCCCTATTTGTCCTTTAAGCTTATTCTATACTAGTCATTTTATAGATTGTCCGATTGTGCATTACCATCTTTTACTTTTTAACTTGTGAATGACAGGCTTTTGAAGCTGGTGTGAAATTGATTGGTGCTACAAGCCACTTTGTCACTGAAGAGCTTGATGGAGGGCCAATCATTGAACAGATGGTATATATGCTGGCCTTAAGCACTTCAAAATTCTCCTCTAGCTTTGCCTATGCAGTTAGTCTGACCCTTCCATCAATTATATTTCCGATTTTGAACACAAGGAATTATCAGAAGAGAGCTAGAATACTAAATTGTTAACTGCTTCCCTTTTTGCTATTTCTCTGTCAAAACCATGACGTAGCCGTTTTTAACAAAGCATGCTGATATAGAACAAAGGAAACCACTCAAAATGGAAATTAGATAAATCAAGAAGTTTACCTAAGAAGTAGAACTACACTTCTTCCCACCTTGTGACTATTCCTCCCTCCTTTAATTGTGATTATTAATTACAAAGGAAATTCTCAAGGCAAGGGAAGATCAGAGTTGACATGGACCATAAAACAGGGACTTGGTAAGGGTTTGAAACTTACTATCTCTTAAAACCTCCAGCATGGCCATGGTCCTGGCTTTAGAGGCTTTGCTCTATGTTATTAGCTTTAGGTTTACAATGTAGCCACTGCCAAGAAGTTTCTTTAGCTCAGTGGGGTGCAAGATGGTACTCTAACCAAATGTAGTGTTATATCTTTTATTTTCAGACCAATGATGTCGCTGCTAAATATTGTGCACAGACCGACTAATCAGCTCCTTTTATATTTGTAAAGTTATTTATCTTTGGGTTTCAGGTTGAGAGAGTTTCGCACAAGGATAATCTGCTGAGTTTTATACAGAAATCTGAGAATCTTGAAAAACAATGCCTTTTGAAGGCAATAAAATCATATTGTGAGTTGCGTGTTCTACCTTATGAAGAGAACAGGACTGTTGTATTTTGAGGGCAATGCAGGATGGAAAAATCTACTTGACTAAGGTCAGGTTTTTATAGGTTTGCTTGATAAAAAATAGACTTCTATATCCGATGCTACCATGGGGAAAGTTATTGTATTTCAGCTTTGGCATATAAGCATTCAGAATACCACAATGACAATCACTTCATACTATCTGACTTTAATTTGCTGCAATATTGCATATTGATGTTTAATCCGAGGTTGCTGACCTTTTGGTGAAGAACTTTGTTCAGTTAATAGGGTCTTCAAATTATTTAGAGCGGTTTGTGGCTATTCCAGAAACCCATCAGCTCATCTTTCTTAGGGTTGTGCAAAAGGACCCTTCTTAGCAAATGGTACAAGGCTCTATGGTGATGCAACTTGTTTTGATTGCTTCTAATATGGCCAGAAAATTTGGTGAATTCTATTGCTCTCTTGTGGATGTTCTTCCCTACCCAGGTGAAAGTGTTGTAATTATTATGATTTAAGTTGTTCCCAAGTGGCGTAAGAGTCAAGCCCCTGCACCTCACACTTTGCACGAGTCCATATGCATTTTGAATTATGCTTCTAGTTATTGGAATAAATTCATTGCTTGAGTTCTCTGTACTGTGGATGTTTCTACTCTCTTAAACATCATTGTTTGTTGTGTCATCTCTGATCATGCTTGGTTAATGCCTCGGAAACGACATTTTATCGTCCCCCGTTTGCATCATGCTTGCTTAATTTATTCATCGACAAAGAAAGAATGAGAAGGAAAAAGAGGGCCTATAGAACTTTATAAGGTAGCCTTTCAAATAGGAAAGCATTTGTTGATTTTCATCTCTCACTAATATTATATACAAGTGGAAATTCAAAGATTGGAGTAAGATGTGAAAACTAAACAAGAAGTATCTATCCAAAAATAAATAAACTAAGTAACAAGTGAGACAAGGCTCATGCCATTTTAGTGTGTTCAGATATGACACAAGGGCTACAAAATCACTTAGCAGAAACACAAAACTATAATAGATGCACAACCCATCACATTCTCCTCCCTTATTGAACTACCAGATGCACCAATTAGTCAAGCAATGCTCGTCTAAGCAGTTAACATATTCATGGAATGCCCAATGTTTTCAATGTTGCTGGTTCTTTGTAGAAGATATTGAATTGTATCAACCCATTTCTGTTTGTGGATCTTGTTCTTGCACCTGAACTCCAGAAGACCCTTTGCTGTTTTAACCCCAAAATAGGCATCTGCATTTTCCCTTTCTTTGCTGAATGGCCAAGAGGCTTTCTCATTGCAGACACCATAGACAACACCTGATAACAGGAAATTTGAAGTGAAAAAGATAAGGCTCTATCGTTTTTCATTGTTTAACGTTTTCATTTTGTGGGCCCTACCCCATAAGATGTGAGGATGAATGAAGATGTGATTGTGGGTCCCTTTCACTTGATGTAAAGAAGAATAGATGTGGGACACACAAAATGGCTCATGGAGGGAAGTACTATAAATGAATGTTACCTATAAGTACCTTGAAAATGTTGGCAAATAAAATGGTAATTATGGCTTTATCGTTATGGTCACAATATTTGTAGAAATGAAGAGTAAGCTTGCCTTTATTCTTTGTGGAAAAGGCCCCTCCAACATGATTGCTTTTGAGCTTGATGATAACCTGCCATTAGAACTTTGTATGAGAAATTTGCCATGATTATTATTTTGATCAAAACTCAGAACTGGAATAGTTGCTCTTGATTTGTCCAAAAGTTTCTACAATTTACCTGAGACTTCTTGTTTATGTAGATGGATACTTGCTTCCAATGTAACCCTCCTGGACATTCACTTGACCCATTAAATTATGTAAAAAGAACGTCAGCCTTTTCTTTTGTTATCATGTCAGAGATCCGTGCACACACGAGTGTATTATTGAAGTTTGTGGTAAGTTTTATCATGCAGTATATTAAACTTGTTCTAAGCTAACCTTTGTGTACTTGTTGCAGCACGTCTTTAGTACACTGATGCTCTCTTTTTGTGCTTTCACTATGATTACCAGTGAGAATATGACCCCCCATTCCCTTCTCATATGGAATTACAGTGGCATTCTTCTTTGCTTCTTTTGGAAATCTAGCTTTCAGCGCTGCTTCGCCTCGCAAAGCTATTAAACAGAGAGGGAAGTTTGTAAGTTCACATCTGAAAAAATAGTTCATCGATCACCAATCCCACCAACAATGATCTCTTGGTAATTAACTAGCTGAGATAATTTGGGGAAATATAAGTTTACTGTATTTCAGGTTATCATTACATTTCCATGCTACTTCAAGATGATATAATTTGTATTCATTTGTATAAAGTGGTTTAAAAAATTTCAAAATCCTAAAGTTTGTTAGAGAAGACAAAGTGAGCACTATCTGATATTACAATGTACAGGCCAATTCTGTTCAGTAGGAGCAATTCCTATGGAAATTGGTAAGTTAAAGTATATCCATCCATGGCATATATAGTACAACGCATCAATGCAATAGGTAGAAATTTTCTTGAAACTGAATGAGGAATTAATGAATCTACCTGTTGCAGCTGCAGCTGTGAGAGTCACTAGATCACTTGGACTTTGGATGTTAATGGCTGATTGGACAACAGAAACTACAAGGTCATGATCAGCTCCAGCTGATTCTGCCAACTCGAAGCAATGTGATGCTAATAGCTCTGTAGCTGACATAAGAGCAGTGCTCATTCTGGAATTGTCCAACCTTGTGCTCTCAGCTGCAGTGATGGAAGCCACTGCTGTTGCCAGCCCAGCGACACAGAGCGCGGCATGGACTTGTGCTTTTTCCTGCCGGACCTTGTCTTTCTTCCACACGCTTCTCATAATAGCGTCCCTGTGATTGAACCATTTCCCTCTTGGTCTAAGACTCTGAACGTTTGATAGGTTCATAATCTTCTGTTGCTGCAAGAGATCAATAAAAACCATAAGGTGAGCCTGAGTGGGAACTTTTTTATTTTCGGATTTCAGAAAAGTTGAACTTACAAGTTGTGGTGCGATGAATGATTCAGGTAACGGGCTAATATTCTTTTTGTCAAGCGTAGATTGTTTTGGTTTCTGTGCAAAGGCTTTTGAAATCTCGGCAGCAGAAACGCTCCAGGATCTGGACAAGAATTCCATTGGCTCCATTGGTGTTTCTGGTTGGGGAATAGAAGGTATGTTTCCTGGTATATTGAATTCTATGTTGCTTTTTCCTGGATACTCAGATGGGTATGAATTGCTCTTCCGGATATTTCCACCTTCCATTCTCTGGTGTTTCGTTTGTTAGTGGATGGATAAATAGATGATTTTAATCACCTCAGAAACTTAGATCTACCACCAATCTATGTTTCTGTATCCATTTCAACCCAGTTCCTGGTCTCTTGGCCTGAAAAAAGATCAAGAAAAGGATATTAGAACTGAAAGATTATTGGAATGACTCCTACTCCCTTTGAGTCTCGTGTATTCAAATCACTATATAATGTACAAATAGGATTGCAAGAGACCGTAACCTATATTAAGAGATTTACATACAAAATATATATACACCGATTTTTAGGCTAAAAATCCTCATGGGTTTTATATGGTATCAAGAACAGAATTAGGCAAGACAATCCGGTCATCCTATATGCATGATCACGTTTATGTGTGTATTCGACCATTTATGAAAGAAAAACTCTTAAATATCCTAGGGAGAAGGGTTCAATCCATTTGGAATTTCTGATACCTTAGAAAGAAAACCAACCTTCTGCAGCCTTAGAAGAAAGATGTACGTGGCAACCAGAGAAAATCTATTATTAGTATTTAGATAAAACTCAAGTTATTTCCAACTATATATAGCTGTTGGGGGGTGGTCAATAGACATGATGGTTAGCATAAACATAAGACCTCAATCTTGTGCTTGTAAATTGTTGTCTCCCATAAATTAAGCTACTTCATGCGTCGCCACCCCAAAAGTTAAAACAAGACTGTGGAGTTTGTCCCTATAAAGATAAGCACAAGTACATGCTTTAAAGCAGATTAAGGAGTAACATTAGACTCAAATATTCTTTTCTGTCACCAGATTTGATACTGAACCTTGTACTTGGTATACTTCTTATATATATATATATAGAGAGAGAGAGAGAGAGAGAGAGAGAGAGTTACTTTCATATGCAACCCATTACATTTGTATAACCAATGCAACCCAATAAATTGAGATATTTATAGAAATGATGAGAGTTCATTTATTATGATTTGAATATTTATGGAAGATGAATAGGGTTCATTAATTATGATCTGAATAGTTATGGAAGATGAATAAGGTTCAATAAATTATGATCAATACTTTATATTAGGAAATAATCAAAACTTCTATGAAATCACATATTTATCAAATTAAATGGACGGTTGAGATTGGGTTGTATTGGTTGTACAAATGTAAATAGTTGTATAATAACTCATCTCTATATATATACGCACACTATTGTGCAACAAATAGCATTAATTTGAAGCATTTTTTAAAATTATTTATTATGATTTCCATGTGATAGTGCTTAAGTTTGGAAGCTTTTAACATGAGAAAACATTTTCCCGGTCTTTGGGTAACTTGTCTCAAAATCTCCAACAATCTACTTGTTTAATTCCTGTTAGTATTTATAACCTAGTAGTATTTATTTTTAGTAACTTCTTTTTGGAAGTTCTTAGATTTTAATGTTTATTACTCGCTTTTGAATTCAAATTGACATATAAACCCCTTTGACCTTGCGAGTTTTACTTTTAACCGAGTGACCATGTGTCTGTGTGGTTAAAAAAAAAACTAATACAAAATCGTTTATGTAGTGTTTTAAATTTATAAAACTAAAAAGGAATGAACATTTTCTCTCCTTTCCGAATAAAAATGTTGGTATTTTATGCACTAAAATTGTATTATGTGGTTATTGATATGTAAAGATGAGGCGAGCGTGTATGTGAGTGATGTGTACTTGTTGTGTCAAGGGGACATTCCATGAAGTGCTCGGCTGTAGTATCTATTTTATTTGGTTTTATGAAAAAGCACTTTCCGCCTGAGGACCATTACCAGCCCCAGCCCCCAGCCGCTTGCTTTTCAAACAAACAGAAAAGGAAAAAAGCAATCACGTGACTTTCGAATGCAACCGTGTGCTCACGTGCTCTCTTCTCCTTTTTCCAGAAAATAAAAATAGATTTTGATATAAAATACTACCATTAGCGAGACCGTTTGCCAAATGTTTATCCAGGTAAGCGCTTACGAAATTATATTACCTTGTTGGCAGGGGCGGATGGCCATAGGGACTTTTTTTTCTCTCAGTAGAGTGAAACATCTCCAGTCTATTAAGGTTTTAAATATAAAATTCTTTTGGACCCCTCCGATATTGTTGATTCAGGCCATTTGTGTTCCACCTTTGCTTACTGCATAAATATGGTAAGGACCAAGAACCTTACCCGGTAAGAACGAGGTAAGGAACAAGAGTCTTACCCCGGAAGTAAGGGTGGGGACTCTTATCATGGTTAGCGCTTACCGGGTAAATTGTTGCATACGATGTCGTTTTGGTGGACTAAAATCTTAATCAGTAAGTGATGTTGAATTTTACCGATTACCAGGTAAGTGTTTGGTAAGCGACCCTTAATGTCTCATGAAACAACTTATTTGGACTATGTTCAGACGAAAAAGTAATTGTCTTAGGGAGATGCTTTTGAGTACGTTTTTTTGTAAAACGATCAGAACATAGCTCACTAGGCCTTTGCATATACATATATGTTCTTCTTTGATTAAGAAATGCGATTTGATCTTATTGTAGATAAATTTTTGTTGCATCTTATGATTCTTCGAAGGTACTTCAAAAACTAATGTCAAACAAGGTATTCAATCGCTTTTGATGATATACATACAAACATATAGATGAACAAGGTTGAGTTCCGTGAGAATCGAAGTTACGATGAGAAGGGTAAAAAATCTCCACCCTTGGATCAATCCTAATTAAAATATCAATACTAATGTAACTGAGATGCATTGGGCCAATTCTCGTGATAAACGTAATTCATTGGTGGATGTGAGATTAAAACGATCAAGCATTTAGATCATTTCTTACGTTTCTCATTATTACTTTCATTCTCACACGATCATTCGTCTATATTTTTTTACATGTCTATTGATTGAAGCAATTATCGTTAGTTATATGTGGATAATGCAGTCATCAAGACATGCTATATGTGATCATAAATTGACTTTTTCACTGTAATTAATTGTAAAGTGAAGTCATTAATTACTACATTTTGGCAAGAAAATAATGTCGACAATACAACAAGAACAAAATCACTACTTTCTAAAAATTTTGATATCCAAATATCTGACTTGTAATCTTACCAGAAAAGGAAGAAATTGATGGTAAAATACTTTAAATTTGTAAAAAATTCTAGAAATAATTGATTAAAAGGGAAAAAAAATACGTTTTTTTTAATTATTTCCACTAATAAAAAAATTTGTAATTAATATTTTTTTGAAGTCTTCGTATATTTAAATAGGAAAGTTTTAAACCATCAAACTTTTTTTTTTTATTGAATTCTGAACTTATTGTAATTTTCCATTTGACAGTATTTTTAATGATTAGTTTTGTAAGATACTAAACTACAATAATCTAAGAGCTTATTCGGTTGGTTTTTCATTAACCTTTATATGAATTAAGTTGTTGGTATGATTCAAAATAACTTGTTTGATTTATACTGAATAAACAGTTTGAATATTAAAATGACTTTTTACCCTCGATTTACATTAAATACAGTCTAATTTGAGGCTCCAAAGGAATCCCAAAGAGAGTCCAAATGTTAGATTCCTAAGTACTTGTTTCTTTTTCTTTTCTAATCACTTTTTGAAACAAGTTACTTGAGTCAAGTTTTGAACTTATCTTTACAAAGAAAGTGGGTGGAAAGTAAGCTTTGATAAAGAGAAAAGTAAGCCTTATATATCCAACCACAAAAACAGTGCTTAAAGGAATATATGCATATGAGTTTGAAGGAGGGATGGTTCATTAAACATATCAAAGAAAGCAAACATTTTGTTAGATCATTTGTAATATCTCAGGTTCCACATTTGCATATAATTATGTATTTCATATAATAAAAAATACAATTTTACATATTTAGTTTCAAATATCCACATGCAAACAATCATATAATGTATTTATTACTTCCCTTTCCCACCAAGAAACCCAAATAAGCCTATCTCTTGAATATTGGAAGATAAACTCTTGTGTGCTCGATCCTCGCAATCACACAAATTTCCATGGTTTTATGCTTGTATATTTCTATTAATTATATTAGTTATATTAAAGTATACTTGAACATGTTTAAATAATGAATATTTAATTTATTATATATAGATCGTCAAATGAATCAACTTTTACTTTATTAGTGGATAATTACAAAATAGCCATTATGACATGAGATCTAGCGGAAAACAACTTTTTTTTTTCATATCTATACTATATTATAAAATATTTGATAAAAACTCTTAAAAACCATTTTTTATATACACAATATTATTTATTGATGCATATTATTTAAAATTCAAGGTTACAAGTAAATAATGCATAAGTACAATTTATTAACGTTTTATGCTTGAATTTGTGTAACCAACTCTAGATAAACATAATCAAATATTGAATAAACATTTTATTTTAAATATAAAAAATTTAAAATGTAATTAGGATAATCACTATGTGTGTTTTAACATAATACTTAATTATCATATTTATAAAAAATATATTATTAAATAAAAAATAAATTAATTTGTTATTAAATCTAAAAATTAAATTATAAAAAAAATTGAATTAAAGAAATTACACAATAAAACAAAATCTTCTAAATAACCAATTTGATATTAATATCGATATTTATATATATTTTTAAAATTCTAAGATATCTTCAAATTTATATTTTATTTAAAAATAAAAGCATTATCATTTTTCTCAAAATCACATAAAACCGTATTATAACATCGACAGGGGATAAAATAAACCGAAACATTAAAATCGAGATGTATCTTATTGCATTACAGAAGTATCATTATAGTTACACAAAATATTTATCCAACTGATGAATGGATTTTGCATAAGTTAAAGAAATCCATTCACGAAGGGTACTTTTCTCAAATTTCATGAGAAATGTTTTCTCTTGATAATGTTACAAGAAAAAGTTATTTTATAAATTTAAAAAGGATTATGAATTTCACAAAAAAGAGGTTTATTTTATTTTTATTGTATTCTACGAAATATCTGCCAATTAAATGCTTATTTTGTGTTAGGACTCATATCAAATTAGTTATTTTCGTAATTATCTTTTTAATGAATTAATTTATTAAGAAAATTAATTTACATGATAGTAAAACAAAATAATTTAATAATATAATTTTAAGGAAATAAATATGTTCTTATAATAAATTTTAATTATGTATGTCTTAAAACAAAATTGGACATAAATTAAATTCCCACGTGTATATCTATACATTACCCGCCTGAGCCTACCAAATTTACCGAGATGCCCCTTCCCTCACTGTTTCAAATTCGTTCGCCATCACCTCTTACACTGAAAAAAAAAACGAGCATCTCTCTCTCCACGACTTTCTCTCTCTCTAGGTCTCCGTCAAGTCATTTACTACTTCTGCTTCTCATGTTCATCGTGAAAATTGTTTAAATTTTATTATTCCTTGTTGAATTAAATCAGTTAGAATTCGGTTAGCAGTTGGGTGTGGCGGAGTTTGTGTAAAAATTAGGGCTTGTTTTGTCTCTTTAATTTGATAAGTTTTTGGAGCCCTAGAGCTTTTGGTTCTTTGGTATGAAGCAGCAGCAGCAACGTTGATCCGTCAGGATTTCGTCACCGAATGGAGGGAGGTAGTAGTAGCTTCTCCTCTTCTTCCATACTTACTTTTCTGGTGATAACTGTTTAATTTATCTTATTGAGCTATTTTTTATGTTTTTATGAAGTGAGTGGGTTGTTGGTGATTCGTTGTAAGAAAGTTGGGTTCTTTTTTGTTGGTTTATATGGAAAATGATGGATATGGTATGCAAGTGGGACGCGCTTAACTTTCTGATGAGAATAGATTTGATTATTGTTGGTGTAAAATACGGTAGAATGGTCTTTTCAATTATGGACGTGAGAAGTTAGCTGGAGCGAGTAGCAGTTAATTGGAGATGTGAGTGAGCAGCTCATAAAAGGATGGGAAAGAGTAGTGTAGGGTACCGAATTGGAGAGTGGCCAGCCTCCAAATGTTGGTAGAAGGGAACATCAACAGAGTAGCAATTCCAGTTCCTTTTTCTCTTGTGACCTTGTTGAGTTCGTACTCATGCAGTGCCTTATTGCCACGTTGGTACAGATGTTCTGCTTCATGCCAAATTTTGAACTTAACACAGTTCCTCTAGTACAGGGTAAGTAGGGATTGTTTTTCTCACAGAGTCATTGGTTAAAAATTCACTACTTCACTGTTCAAGTTACTTTTAATCTCAACCGCCTACTCAAATGAGGACTTATGCATGCTGCAAAGAGAATCCCAGTTGCTCTCTACAGAAAAAGTTTAAGGTGAAACACAACCTTTTAGTAACCAATATAAAGTCAAACTAATGCAGTATGGCTGCTAAATCCCTAATGGAAATGTTTTGGTCTGTCCTGCCGTTAACAGCAATGTTGAGACATCGTTGACCATCCATGACAAGTTATATCATAACATAATAAGTTCAACCCTTGACCATAACGTATGTATACTCAAACCAACCGACTTTGTAATGAATTTTTTAGGGAAAAAGGGGGGGGGGGGGGGGGGTATTGATGGGTTACTCTGGGATTCCCAGCAAACTACGATAAGATACAAGTATACAGCTCAAATAATAACCATGCAAAACACAAAACCATTTATTACAGCATGTGATGTGTGTCACACCGCACATAATGTTCAACATACATTGCACATGAAGAAATTGTATTACAAACTTGTGAACATAAAACTGTTATCTTAACTTTTGTCGATGGATGACCTCTCGTGGTCTGGCCACTCATGTGTCCCAGATCTATGTTAATCTTTATTCGGCAGCTCATGTAGTCAGATTTCAGAAGCTTGGTGACACTTGCACATGGACAAAAAGGTGTACCTAGGTTCAGATGGATCATCGGGAAATGAAAGTTGCTCTGGAGTGAGAATTGATGTAGTTTTCGACATTTAGAGACTTTGGGGCAGAAAATGGGGCTGGGGATTTGAGGGTGACATAAAGTTACGACTTCGATAATATAGTTGTAAGGTAGGCTATGGATGGGTGTAAGCGTGAGGCATGCTTTTGTGATGGTAGTGTAAAGCTATGGTCTACAACAGCCGTGATGCTACGGCTGTGAAGAAATTCCATAGGATGACGGTCACCCGTAAGCTTATGCTTTCCAACCTGCAGTTTTTTTCCCTTTTCGATTTGCCTGATCCCATAACCTTTTTGGTTGTCTTGTTTTTGCATAGAGAGTAGTTGCTTACTTGCTTTTGCATAAAAACTACTAAAGAAAAAGAAATAAAATCACATAAGTACCTAAATATCTGTGCTCGTTTAATGATTTAGACAAAAGCAAATAACAATGTTATCACACGTCTAGGGAGGTAATTGGTATATCAACTATGTCTTTTTATAGGAGTTCTGAAGTTGCTTAATATATGTCCCTTCTCCTTATTAAAAAGTTTGGAATTTTTGGATCCCTAACTGGAGCATGCTATCTTCTGTGAAAGAAGCTGTGCAGGGTTAACGAGTGATGTTATATGCATTGTTTATATGATAGGTAAATAGGCTTCCTTGATATCCATGTATACTTGGGCGAGGAAGTAATAGAGCTTTTTAAATGCATGTACATTAAGAAATGGCTTAATTGGCAAGCCAACATGGTTAAAGTTGTAGTTGGAGGGTATTTATCTATTTGATTTCTTTGTCATTATGTGATTATGATACAATTAATCCATCTAAAATTGGTTTATTTTTCTCTCTTGCTTTTGTCAACTCCATTTTAGCTACTCTCTTTTTCACGTGAAAGTCACAATATTTGACCGGGGCACATAGTTTTGTTCAAGTGTTTGGCTCTTTGTCAATCATCTTATGTGCCCTCCAATAATGACCAAGGAATCATGTGAACACAATCAATAACAATGATAATTTGTAATAATGTCAATAGGAAAATACACAATTCAATCTTGAATACTTGTGGAAGAGGGGAATGCTTCAATTTTCATGGGATGATCCCAGAAGGGAGATTTGTGATTTTCGTGGGATGGAAGGAGTGTCGAATAAATGTTCGGTATTTGATAGTGTTTTTATTTCTTCCCTTAAAACTTTAAGTTCAACCGCAGGGATATGCCAATGGATTATGATGACAATGACTTCCATATCCAAAATCTTCACTTAGCTGGGGAAGGGAGCTCCACAGTTTCTCCTGCTCTGCGTCCATATGCTCTTCCCAAATTTGACTATGATGATAGTCTCCGAGGGAATTTAAGGTTTGATAGTTTGGTTGAAAACGAGGTTTTTCTTGGTATCACAGGTCAGGAAGACAATCAGTGGATCGAAGAATATTCACGTGGTAGTAGTGGTATAGAGTTTAGTTCAAGTGCGGCTGAATCAAGACGTAACAATGTATGGTCTGAAGCAACTTCTTCAGAATCTGTTGAAATGCTTCTAAAATCAGTTGGGCAGGAAGAGGGGGTCGTAGGAGAAACTATAACTGATGAATTGGATGCTAGTGATGGACCTGGTTGTTTAGCTACAATTATGGATCCTAATTTGAAGCAAGATGATGGAAAGGATCATGTTATTCATGCTCAAAAAGCAATGGTACCAAACAAGCCTCAGGATAATTTTTCTGGTTTTAGTGCAAGCTTTGATTGTGAGAAGTCTCATATTACATTCACTTCCCAACCTCAAGAGGCTCAAATTTCTGGTGGAGAGTTAGATTCAGTTGTTCTAGGTAAGAATTGTAATTTTTCTGAGGAAAGAGTTGATAGGATATGTGGTGATGTAAATCAGGAGGCTGAAAAGTCGGCATTTGAATTATTTAAAAAAGAATCGGGAGACAATCTTTCTACCTCCGAGGTAGAATGTGGAGATACGGGATTTACCCAAAACTTTAGTGCAAGTAAGACTGGTGATTTGACAAAAAAATCCTTGAGCAGTGAGACTCGTAGTATCAAGAACAAAGAAACTGGCGTGGATGATCCAATAGGCAGTGACATCGCAGTTGAAACTTTGACATACAGTGCCGAAAAGCCTTCAGTTCTTTCAAATGTGGAATCTCTGGATAAGCCATCGGTTGAAGCTAGCATCCCTGTCACTGAGTCCAGCAGTATGCATGAGGACTCACTTGCGACTCCACCAGTTGCTGGATTTGTTAATGTGCAAGCAACTGAGGATGACAACACAAAGTCAGAGATTCTTGCTACTCGAGAATCAAATGTGAGTTCTCCATCAAAGGTGTCTGATGTGCAGAGTCGTTCTGTTGAGGAAACAGAAAATGATGATGTAAGGGATTCCCAGCAAGCTACTTCCGATGCATTTGAGGTGTCTATGGGCAGTGATCCATCTGAAATGTGCGAAGGAAGCAGCATTAATAATTTGGGTACTAATATGACAAATGAATGCGCATCGGCTGAATTCCATGCTGGAAGCATAATAAACAAGGATCTTGTAGCCTGCAGTAAGACTCCAAAGGCTCAAAGTGGGGATTTAAACAAGGATAAGAGCCTGATTGCTGAGCTTTCTGGTTCACTGCAGGTAAATGATGAAATCCAGTCGTCTGAGCAAGGTGGTATATGTATGGATGAAGATCTTACTTTCAATGAGGGAGGGGAAGTAAGGCTACCTTCAGATAGCCTTGATCAAAAGAATGTTGAATCAACCTTGTCTGCTGAAGGCTGTAAAAAACCTTCTGTGATGGCTCAAGGATCTGAAGATGATATGTCCATTCTTGCTGAACCAGGTATATACAAAAATGTTTATGTACGTTTTTGAACAGAGCTGAACCAGCTACATTAGAAACATGATTATAGATTGTTTACCTCTTAGTTTCATGTTTCAAAAGTAGATGTAAATGTATATTATCTGCAACTCATTTCAACTAATTACAATTTCATTTTGCATAATCAGGTACTGCTGTGCAATCTGATTCAGTGTCATCTCCTGACACTCCAGATGGTGTCCAATTACTTTCTGGAAGCATTGCCACAGACTACATGGCTACTAAGTCACCTATACATGGGGTGAGTTCAGTTCACCATGATAATGAGAAAAAAGAGGAAGCAGGATTTTTCGGTGATGGAACCTCTGGAGATGAGTCTCCAAAAGTTGCAAGTATGATAGATTGTGCTGCAGTGGAGCCGTTACCTGTGGTTGAGAAATCTGCATCCACTGATCGTGATGGAAATGTTGTACATCAAATGGCTGGTCATTGTGCTAGACCAGTTGATAACAACCATGCCATCATGAGTGAGCAAACACAAGAGGCTAACCCTGATGGTCTCGGTTGCTCCACAACTTCAGTGATGAGTTCTCTACCTTTCAATTCATCAGCAAAAGTGGGTGATATTGGTGAGGCTGGAGGTCTGCAAGACCCTAAGGAATCAATATCAGGATATCATAGAGCGGCACCTCTAAGTTTAGCAGGTAATTTTCCTATGATCTATATAATGTAAGGGTCGCATATGTTTAGAAGTATAGGATGGAGCTACACAGATCTTACTAGCTCAAGGTGATTGGATTGGTTAACTCTTCGGTGTATCAATGTCTTCTTTTCTTTTTTATTGCTTTCTCCTCTTGTCCCTCAATCTCTTATTGCTTTCATCCCCTTGTCCTTCAACCATTATTGCCGAAGGTTGTGTTACTGCTCTTTCTTTGATGGTGAAGAGAGCATATTGTTTAGCGAGTTGGCATTTGTTGAGAACTCTTGGTTGAATATAGTGGGGCTGCTGAAAACATCCTTTTGTATTCTATGTTATACGTTTGGTGATTCTTTCTCTTCTATCTCTCTCTTTGGAGGGATGAGGAGGATTTGGGATGGGTGGCACCTTTCAATCTAAGGTATTTGGTAGTGCTCCTATTCTGATCTCTGGAGGCTTTGCAGTGTAACTCTGTTTTTTCTCCAGTTTTGTTGAACTCATGTGATCTGTGCAGTGTTCAAAAAGGCGCCCCATGGCGTGCACCATGACGTGATATGCCTCAAGACGCGTCTCCGCCGTTACGAAATGGCCATAGCATTTCCGTAAGCCGTGGCTGACGCCATGGCGTCTTGAGGCCTGCCGTAGCGCGCTTTTTTGTAATATGTGATTTTTTTCTAAAAAATATTATTATTTTTATTTTTTATCTTTTGAGTTTTTACGCTTTTAACTTTAAATTTTACACTTTTATAGATCTAACTAATCACATCACTCACAGTTTCACAAATTCATAAATGTTACAGACTCACGGTCAAAATGAAGTTGTAAAATTACCTTTCTAAGTTCTATTTTAAATATTTAATCAAAAACCTATTTTTATAATAACAATCTATATGATTATTCTTCTTCTAATATGAATGTACATTTTTTAATATCATTATCTGATTAGATAACATATAGAAAACATATATCTATATATATAATTCTATATATGACATACAAATTTGCCGCCTTATGTCACGCCTTCAAAAACACCGCGTCCTCGCCATGGCGTGTAAGGCTTGAGGCTTGACCTCGCCGCCACCCACGCCTTACGCCTTTTTGAACCTTGGATCTGTGGTACTTTTACCATATGCTCAGAGGTCTCATGATCTTCTATCTCTACCCTTTTTATTTAAGTTGTATCTGTTAACTTCTGTTTCTCATAAAAGGAATACAACAGCCTCGTACGATTATATATCTATGCCAGTGGAAGGCAGATTGAATGAAATACTGTTAATACCAGTGTTTTTGTGATGGAGCAGAATTATGGCTACACTGTCACATGGTAGGATCATTAGTTAGTTACTTCAGAATATAAAAAGCTTTGATGGTTGTGATATTCATGTAAGGGGATGCATTTGCAGCATTAGCAGAGTTTTATAGAAGATCTAATTTTGGATGCTACTATTTTTTTCATAGATGTAATGTTACAGATGATTCACTGTTAGAACTTAAAAAGGATCTAACGGTGAAACATTTTAGGTATCTGTGCAATCATAGACATGTTATTTCTTGGGGGTTTCACTTCTATGATTTATAAGGCTATTATGTGTGGTAAAATATGATGAAATGCAAATTTGGTTCCATGTATGCTGTTTCTGCATTTGTTCTGATTACTGGACTTGATTTTGCTGTTAATATGTCAGCTGAGCAGCAGATTTCTACTGAGGTGGTGCCTCCCTCTGAATGTGATGCTAGTCATAAGAGAGACAATGAAGATAGTTCTTCCTCTGTCGATAAAACTCAATATGTTTCTCCTTCAAACACAAACAATACTGAACTTTTGCAAAGCACGAAAGTTACCCATGAGATGGCCGAGGGTGCAATCTACGAGAATGCCTCACTTCTTGAGGTAACAGAAGACTTGAAGGGGAAGATGCAGTCAGTTTCTTCAAATATTGATATTAGAAGAGATAAAAGTTCTACTTTTGAGGTCACTACCACCGCAGCTCTTGAACAAACAGGCAAGGGTCAGCAATCGTTTCCTGCCATTCAAGCTTGTAATATGTCAATGGTAATTCTTTTACATTCATGCCTTTTGATTTACTTTATTCATCAGCTCTCAACTCCTTATAACACTGGCTTTGTTGGAAATTTGTGATCTAGAATATGGAAGGGTCTTCTATTAATTCTAGCAGTAGCATATTGGATCCTCAGAAACCGGAGGAAGTTCGTCATGCTATTCCTCAAAACCCTGTCAGTGCGACTATTCAAGTTGGATCCAAAGGAAACTCAGAGCGTAAAACAAGACGAAAGTCAGTTGGGAAAGAAAGTGCTAAGAATAGTAACCGCCTGAAGGAAACAACTCCGAGACAATCAGGAAGAATAGAAAAATCATCTGTGCGGTTAACCTCCTCAGCAACTGGTCATGCTATTCAATTTGAAGAGTTGAAGCCCCAAGAGAAGATTGAATGCAGCATTAAGAAGCCCAGTGGCATTCTTCCCATTCCTACATCAAACCTGCCAGATTTGAATAATTCAACTGCTATATTCAAGCAGCCGTTTACTGATAATCAACAAGTTCAACTGCGAGCACAAATATTGGTATATGGATCATTGATGTGAGTACTTTTACCCCTCTCTCTCTCTCTCACATGTACATGCATGATTTTAAAATAAGCACAAACAAACACATGCCAATTTAGAAGTTAGTTTATGGACATTATTGGATTGGTCATGAACTCGTGATGCTGTCATCTTTTTCTCTATGATACTGTTAGCATGCAAGTGGGGTAGAAGTTTCGGGTCCAAGAATTTATGGATGTTTGTTGTCTCCATCCTCTTAGATTTTTTGTTGCTATTTTTGGGATATCTCCAAGTAAATGGCCTCTTCTAATAACTATGTCACTCTTCACTTTGATTCTGCACAGAAAGTTTGTTAAGAAAAGAAGGGAATTTTGAAACCAAAAGTTGACTGTGCCATAATCCTTTTCAAGCCAACTTTTCTTTGGCAGAAATTTCACAGTTGTCAAGCAACCTTTTCACTTTGGTTCTGAGAACAAAACACTGGAACATGCATCTGAGGACGGATGAGTAAATCTTAGGATAACATTATGCTTGTTAAGAAGCTTGCCAAATTTTGCGGAGTCTTCATTTTCTCAAAGCTTGGTGCATGATAGTATGCCTTTTTACTGGAGTTGCTAGTTTTGTTATTCTTGACTTAGAAATTTATATTCACATCTGAGTTTCTTTATTTTAGTATGTACTAAGTAGCAATTTTGTGGTTGCAGATCAGGCTCGCCACCTGAGGAGGCTCATATGATTGCTGCATTTGGGCAATCGGGTCAGTTTGTGGGTTAGTCATTTCTGAAGTTAACCTAAACTCTCATATTATTTTTGACACATAATGTATTTTCAGATGGTGGAAGGGAAACTTGGGAGGGCGCCTGGCATGCTTGTGTGGAGAGGGTTCATGGTAAAAAGTCCCAGGCCAACAACCCTAGCACCCTTATGCAATCACGATCAGGTACCTTATGATATTAGCAAATTTGAATTTTGCTGTAGTTGTTTCTCTTGTAGGTACTAACACCTTAAACTTCATTTCAGACTTGAAAGATGTGGGTCATAGAACTCCAGATCCAGGAATTAAACATAGTTCCTTCCCAAGCAAAGTTCTCTCTTCACCTCTAGGAGGAGCTAGCAACAAGGGTACTCCATCAGTTATCAGTCCCTTGATTCCCCTTTCATCGCCTCTTTGGAACATCTCTACCCCGTCTTCTGTTGGTTTTCCATCTAGTAGCATGACAAGAAGTGCTCTTCATGATTACCGTCAATCATTTTCTCCTCTACATCCTTATCAAGCTCCACCAGTGCAGAATTCTTCTGGACACAATCCTCCATGGTTATCTCAGGGCCCTTTTGCTGGTCAATGGGTTGCCTCTTCACCAGTTTCTGCTTTCAATGCAGGTGCTCGTTTTTCTGCACTACCGATAACTGAGGCTGTAAAGTTAACCCCCGCCAAAGTATCAGGTGGTCCAGGCATAAAGCACACATATTCTATTCCTGTGGTTCATAGTGCTGGTCCAAGTGTGTTTTCCGGAGCATCTTCCCTATCTGATGCAAAAAAGACGACTGCGTCATCTGGTCAGGCTTCCAGTGATTCAAAAAGTAGAAAGAGGAAAAAGAATACCGCTACTGTGGCTGATCAGACCTCTGTTCCTCGGCAAGCTCTGCTAGCATCAGTTACTGCACCTCCAGTTGCTCTTCTGCATCAGGTGACTCATAGTGAGGGTTACAATCGTGCCCCTTTACTGGCTGAAAATCAGACAGTTTCAATTACAGCTCCTGTTGTTAGTAGTATTTTTTCTACATCAGTAACTGTGTCAACACCTGCTTCCATCAAATCTAAAAGCAGTCCTGGTAGGTTTCTTTCTGTTTTATCTACTCATGAGCATCCTAGATTTCGGGATAAAAAGGTGGAGAATGTTGGAATATCAGAGCAGACTTTGAACAAAGTTGAAAAGTGCAAGCTACAAGCAGAGGATGCTGGCGTGCATGCTGCTGCTGCAGCCAAAACATGCCAGTCCTCTACTGATTCGAAAACCTTAAAGAAGAAAAAGATGACTACTAGTCTGGATGTCAACCAGGCCTCTGTTCCAAGACAAGCTCCAGTAGCATCCATCACTGGACCTGTCATTGGTTATTTGCCTCACCTATTTCGTACCGAGGATCACAGCCAGATCTTGTTGCTTGCTCCAAACCAGACAGATTCTGTGACTGCTCCTGTTGTTTGTAGCCCATTTCCTATGTCAGTTGCCATGTCGACGCCTCTTCCCATCACATCTAAAAGCAGTCCTGGTAGATTTACTAAGGTTGTATATCCTGCATCTACCCTTGGTTATCCTAAACCTGGGTATCAGAACATGGAAAAGGCTGTAGCCGCAGAAGAGACTTTGAGCAAAGTTAAGGAGTCCAAACTACAAGCAGAGAATGCTGCTCTGCTGGCTGCTGCTGAAGTCAGTCATTGCCAGGGTGTATGGAGTCGGTTGGAAAAGCAAAGGAGATCTGGTGTAGTGTCAGATGATGAAGTCAATCTAATGTCTTCTACTGTCTCAGTAGCAGCTGCTACTATTGCTAAGATGGCAGCTGCAGCTGCTAAAATCGCATCAGATGTTGCAGAACAAGCAAGATTAATGGCTGATGAAGTATTTCTATCAAGAAAAGCTGAAAATCTTGATCAGAGCAGCATCATTTCACATCCTAAAGACACACCTGCTTCATCATTGAAGAGTATGGACAAAAGCAACCACCCTAATTCAATAATTTCTGCTGCCAGAGAAGCTGCTCGGCGGAGAATTCAAGCTGCTTCAGCTGCATCAAAACATGCTGAAAATCTAGATGCTATTGTAAAGGCTGCTGAACTAGCAGCGGAAGCTGTATCACAAGCTGGAAAAATTGTTGCAATGGGTGATTTGTCAGATTTGAGGAAGTTGGTTGAAGCTGGTCCTGAGGGTTACTTGAAGACATCACAGTTGGCACATGACCAGCAGGGTGAGGTTTCAGGACATCTGAATAGCATCACTGATAGACAGAAAGTTGAAGCTGCTCCTAATATGTGTACTAAAGAGATTCATACTTTGAAACGTGGTTTAGTACTGCAAGAACCTTCCGTGTATTTGGCAGAGAATGAGATGATGGTGATTGATGATCTATCAGGTTCAATTACAGGCAATGAAAGGGATACAAGGATACCAAGGGCTCATAAAGGTCCCAACTTGTCCAAAGCCGCTGGTGTTGCTCCTGAAACAGATACAGGATCACTTCATGCTGATGTTAGCCAGAACATGCCTCAAAGTACTTCAGGCGCTTGGAAAGAGCATGACATCAAGGAGGGTTGCCTTGTTGAGGTAAGTGAACGACAGAAAATTTACTCTGTATGTACTTCATTAAGCTCCCGCCTATGCGTTTAGTGTTTCACCAGCACTTCCATTAATTAGGGCCGCTTAAAAAATGCGTAGGTGTTAAGTTTTCCCAACTGCTTCAACTAGCACTTGATTGCTGAATTAAGGACTCCAAGATTAAGTGGCAAATAACCTTTTCTCAAGTTTTGTTCGTCAATTATTTTTCTTTACGTGGGAGGTTCAATCCTTTCTAGTTGATTGTATCAATTAAACAAATAAATTACTCACAGAAAAACAAATTTATCAAAATTTTAGTTCACACATGTTTACATAAGTCTATTGATAATTATACAGCTCATGCATCCGCATAATCCCCGTTTAAGTTATTAAGTGCTATAAAATCACTGGAAACTTGAAAGGCTAGCCCTATGTGCTAGGTCATCGGAGTAGTGAGCTCCACTTTTCCCTTTCGAACACTGCTTTTTTATGCTTGTGTATGTCTTTGTTAAGATTCCTTATGGTTTATATTAAAGCTGGATATTTATTTTGTTTTTTGCTCTTTTAGCAAAATAGTTCATGACATGAGCCAGCATACCTACCGTTTTTAAGTAATCAACCTGTTTGTGTTTTAGGTATACAAGGACGATGATAAGTACAAAGGTGCCTGGTTGATGGCTAAGGTATTGAGTTTGAAGGATGAAAAAGCATTGCTTTGTTACTCTGAAATCCAATCTTCAGATGAAGGTAAGATGTCATGGGCATCACTTTTAAACTTCTGTTTTGGATTTCGCTTGAACATATGCATTTGAGGTGATTTATCAGTTTGTGGAAGTAATTGCAAACAGAATTGTGGAGTAGGTGAATTTGAACTGTGGGTGTTGCACAATATTATTTATTATCATGGATATATTACAAAAGTGTGATTTTTTGTACTCTATGAAGGCATTACACTCGCAAATCATGATGCTTTCTGTTGCATAAAAATTAAAGAACGCTCATTAATCAGCTTTGGTGTCTGTCTTGAGCCAAGTGTGCTGTACATTTAAAAACAAATACATAGAGGAAATCATTTTGTTTCCAGTATCTCTGTATAGATATGATCTCTTATCTTCCCATTTTCTTTTTGGTGTGCTTTTTTTAGGCCATGTGTTCTTGAGTAATTGAGCATTGCACATCAATTATCATCAGATAATATGTTGTGATATTTGGAGTGGTTTATATGTTGGTAGTTGTTTCTGGTAGCTGTATGTTGATTGGATCCTCCAATTAAGATATATCCTGAAGCTTTTGTACTTATTTTCAAGGTTCTGAGAAACTAAAGGAATGGGTGCCACCTGAAGTTGAAATTGAAGGCAACAAGGTACCTAGGGTACGCATCGCACGTTCTATGACTACCATGGGGTATGAAGGGACTAGAAAGAGACGCAGAACGGCTGTGACAGATTATTCTTGGTCCAGTGGAGATAGAGTTGATGTCTGGATGCAAGATTGGTTAGTTTTTAAGAATACACTCGTAAATTTTCTTTTATAATGCCTTTTCTGAATTCCAATCTGTAAAAGCTGTTATAGGACACACTAAATTCTTTCAGTTCCTTGAGTCTGCAAATTATTAGTCCCTCCATTCTCTATTTTTTGTCATACTTTGACTTAAATACAAAGAATAAATTCAACAATTTGTAATTATAATCTTGTTAAATACAACCATGACACAATTCAAAGTCAAAGGATAACTAACAGAAAGTGGAGGGAATTTTGTTTTTTAAGATGATATAGTCGAGGCCGGCCTCTCTACCCCTTGGGATAGAGGTAAGATCTGCGTACATCCTACCTCCTGGAACCCTTCCTCTGTGTGGGATACACTGGTTCGGTTAATTGGTTTGGTTTGGTTTATAGTCGAGCCCAGGGAAGTATGTTAGAAGCAAATGGCTAGTTGGCCCCATTATCTTGTATGAGGCAACATATTTCTTTACATGCTGTACCATAACCTTTTTGTAGCTGGCGTGAGGGAGTTGTCATGGAGCCAAATAAGATTGATTTAACTTCCATAGCTGTTCAATTTCCAGGTACATCAGGTCCTCTCGTTTGGAATTTCTGTTATCAAGTTTTAGTTATCATTATGACTTATGTTCTGTGTATTCTCTTATCTATATCTTTTCGCAGCGCTAGGAGAGACGTTAGTTGTTCGATCATGGCACATCCGGCCAACTCTCGTCTGGAAGGATAAAAAGTGGATTGAATGGTCCAGTTTGAAGGGAGGCTGTGCTTCTGAGGTTTATGTTAATATGTGTTATGGTCATGGAACTCTATTGAAACATCTTGTTTATTAGTGTTACTGAGTTTTAGATCTCGTTACAGGGTGAAACACCAAAGGAAAAGCGGATGAAACTTGCTAGTCCTGTGAAGGATAAAGGGAAGGACAAGTCACCGAAAATTGTTGATCTTGTGGAGTCAGGAAGGCACGAAGAACTGGGAACACTTCCCTTATCTGCACAAGAGAGTTCATTTAATGTTGGTAAAAGCACTAGGGATGAGAACAATCTTAGAAAGATGCGGAGTGGGTTGCAGAAGGAAGGTGCAAGAGTGATTTTTGGTGTTCCTAAACCTGGTAAGAAACAGAAATTTATGGATGTGAGCAAGCATTATGTTGCGGATGGAAGCAAGAAAAATAATACGGCAAATGATCCTATCAAGTTTGCAAGGTATTTGAAGCCACAAGCACCTGGAGCCCATGGGTGGAAACTTAATTCTAGAAATGATGCCAGGGAAACTCAAGTTGCTGAAACCAAATCCAGACTCAAGTCTAGAAAGCCACCAGTTCCTTCGTTCAGAACATTAACTCAAAAAGACAACAATCCGAAATCGACAACTCGTGATTCTGAAATGACAGATAAAAGTGATAGTGACGTTGAAAAGCAGAAGGAATTTGTGTCATCTTCCAACACAAAAGGCCCTGCTTTAGATGTTCCAAAGAAAGATTTCAGTTTCACATCAATTCCCAAATCTGAGCATTTGAATAAAGGAAAACTAGTACCTGCTGAGGGAAAGACAGCCAAAGTAGAAGTGAAGGAGAAATCAATTCCTGAAGTTATTGAGCCACGTAGATCAAACCGTAGAATCCAGCCGACGTCAAGGGTGAGTCGATGATTTCAGTTGATGGTTGATGCTTGTTATGTGTTTACTATTTTTGAAAACTGAACATTTTGAATGTGCAGCTGTTGGAAGGGTTACAAAGTTCACTTACCATCTCAAAGATACCTTCTGTTTCACATGCAAGTCAAAGAAGCCACAATAAGGTCACTTCTAGAGGTAAACATACATACACAAGAATATTTAACATCTTTTTTTCCTTTTATGGATGATGAATGAAAATGGATTAATCTTGTTTTCAAGTTGTAGTTCCATCATATTCATAAATATGTTAAATGTAACAGGGAATACCAGCAATGATGGGTGACAGGATGGAGATGATCTTGGCAAGCAGCAGGCAGGTAGGTAGGTCAGGTAGATAGGTGTGTATAATAATTACTATTATTATTTAAACAGAGGAATGGGTAATGTTTTAGAAGAAATATGATATTTTTATTTCATGCGACTTACAACACCACAAGTCTCTGCAATCTTTTCCTCATAACATCTGTATACTGTAGGTGATGTTGGATTAAGATTGCAGGAAGACTGTTTAACCATTTGAAATCTTCACACTTTTTAGTTGCATTGATGTACCAACCAAGCTGCTAATGAATGATGATGGTGTTTTAATCCCTATATCTTTTGGTTATTGAACTTTTATTGTAACTACAAAATGGAAAACAAATGGTGATTTTGAGATTTATGTTTGATGACAAAATTAAATTGAATCATAAACCAAAAGTAGTAAAATAGATGAAGTAATCATCCTACTACTTATGTCAGTCAGCATGGAGTTGAAAAATGTTTTCAAGATGCATCATCAATCATTTTCCTTTTTCTCTTCCAAGCATGTATTGTATTTGTAAGTAATGTCTTTCAAATAACTGAATTTTATACATTAATTTCAGACAACTTGGAACACCCCCATTCTAAATTAAATTGTCTAGTAGGATTCATATCAAACTCAATCCCACTATTAAGGGTGGTAGAGTAGCCACAACCACTCTCTGAGCCTTTCCACAGCATTTAATGATGGATTCTTGTTGGCTTCAGTAACAAGTTTCATATAGGAAGAGCTCTTCATCTTCCAAGTTAACCAACATGCCTGCAGACCAAAAGAACATAACAAATGAGTAATGGAATAAGGATTTTGTAGCAAAAGAAATTCGGCTGAGCCTACAAGCGGCTCACCAAATGAAGCCGCCAGGAATTACCACGGGCATGTAATGTTAACTAACCAATATATATCCCACTCAGAAATAAGGTATTTTCCTCAATCTCAATGAGCAGAAAGGTTTCCATGAAGACCCCCCCTGGCTTGAGAATTTTTGTTGGAAAGTCGTGAAAAGTTAAGAAGCTTTGGAACAGTTATTAATGAGCATGACTGAAATACTTGCACAAATGCAAATCATGAATGCCGCAGCGTTTAACAAAGGAAAATGGATGGCAACATCAGGCAAAGCATATGTTTAATGTAAATGCACCATTCTTAATCATGACTCGATGCTAGCATGGCATGATTGGAGCAGATGAAAGGACGCTTACTGGGTTAGAGCCATTGATTCACATTTCTGGCATTGCCACCACATTATCAACCAGTGATGTTCTTCAACCGATCATATGCACATTGTATTTTGTGCTTTTCTTCGATGTTCAAGTTGGATCCTTCGTGAGACTGTAGAAAAACATTGTATCAACATTAAACATGTTAATCAAACAAGGATATCCAAAGTTTATGAATCAGAGAAATCAGCCACTAATTTTTCTGAAAGATGATACTTCACCCATGAAAATTGCATCTTTTAATTAGGACATATACACACCCTTGAATCAATGTTTTGACCTTCCAACAACTTATTCAATTTGAAAAGGTAAAGGAAAAACTAGAGTGGGTGTTTCAGATAAAAGACCTACCATGACTCTGAGTATGTTCTGCAGTAAGCTGTCAATCTCTTGCTTGTAACATGATAATATTTGCCAAATTCTAACATCCTCCTGCATTAGCAGGAGAACACGAACAACTGCAGTTATCCTGCTTGAAAGGTCCATCATAGCATGGCCATTTTGACCATCAAAAGTTGGTGAATCATTTCCGGAGATGAAAGATGTCATCACATTCAAGACATCATTCAAAAGTTTTTCACTCCTATAGAACCAAATAAAACAAGGCCAAACATAGTAACTGCTTCTGCTGGTTCGGATGGTCTTACTTGACCCACGATCCTCTGCTCCAAGACTCTGCAGGCAAAAAAAAGAGGTAAAAGGTCCAGTTTGAGCCAACCATGCTAAGTAAAGCATACTGTGCATGACCAAGAAACTCACTGGACTTTAAGAGTATGATCAGTAGCTTGTATTTCAACAAACATATGAGGCAAAAAATAGACAAACCAACTCTTCCGTTAGCAACAGAACGAACTATTTCAAAACTAACAATCAAAAAGCGGCTTGCAATATTTTCTGCAAAACTAACATCCTGAGCTAATTATTGTAGGCTAACAATGAAAACCATCAGAAATTGGAAAGAAAAATGATGATTTGAATAATGACCTAAAGCAATTATGGTAAATAAAGAAGCAGCATTACCAGCAAACTTACGGATGGAAATATTGCGCAAGAAAACTAGCGATTACATTCTATATAAGAAATTATGAAAAGAATAACGGACCATACAACAAGGATAGATCACTAAGGGCCTGTTTACCAAATTTTCCATTAAGTTCTGTATGGATAAATTTGTCTGTCTAGATAAAAGTTTATTGTTGTTTACTTTTTTATCTGAATCAATCGTCTAAATGACAATAATGACCAATCTACCCTTCAAACTCAAACCAAAAATCTGTTGTTCATCAAACCAAAAATCCAAAACC